AAAGCAAAAAAAAAAAAAAAAAAACATTCATCATCTCGAAAAGTGCACAGAAGAGTGAACATGTACAGTCACCTGTCCCTTCCTGTGCTTGTTGTTATCTCCTTCAACTTGACGATTCCCCAAGTCAAGGCCGCAATCAATGTCCTCAATCACAAGTATCGACCGATTTGCAGTAGAAAGCAGTAGGTTTTTAGGGCTAGAATATTTCATGAGTTTTGACATCTCCAAATCATAAATGTGGAATTTGAGATAGTTAGCCATGGCTGCGATCAAGCTTGACTTACCAGTTCCGGGAGGGCCATACAAGAGATACCCACGTTTCCATGCTTTACCAACTCTTCGATAGTAATCTCTTCTCCTCACAAATCTGTCCAAGTCCTCTATCAGTTCCTTCTTGAGTTTTGGATCCATTGCCAATGTGTCAAAAGTAGATGGATGGTCCAGATTAACAGATCCATCCCCCATAGAAGAGTTTCCAAACGAATAGAGCTTTACCAACTTGTTCTCTTCTTGAATAGCTTTTGATCTCTCCAATACATAGGGCAAATAAGAGCTCAATACCTTTTCCTTATATTTCCTTTCGAAGCGTAGCTCAAATGATTTCAGCTCATCTGTGTCCCCATCACTGTCCCGTTTCTCGTTGCAGATCATTTGCCATGTCAAATGGATTCCTTGGAACACATCAATAATCTTTTCCCCTTTTTCGATGGTGACTGAGATGTTCTTGTCTTTGGGTGCCTTGAAAACCTTGAGCCGATCAATTGAAGGGGTGATTTTGGTGCGCAAGAAGATCTCGGAAGCCTCAAAGATCTCATTGAAGGAGAACCCGTCGTATTCATCAATGACGAGAGTCATCATCATCCCAAAAAAAGAAGATAGATTTTTGCCCAGGATTCCAAGTTTCGATAGTATTTTCTCTTGGAGTTGTTGAGGGATAAGATGGTTGGCCAAGCGTTGGAGTTCATAAATCACAGTTCGAACTGTGAATGCCAATGCAGTGAAAGTGGTGTATGCAGAAAATAATGCTGCCGGTGAAGGCATGCTTGCAAAATTAAACATGTTCGACATTTTTCCTGTATATGAATGACACCTTGCAGGGAAGGGGAAGCGGAAGTGGAAATGAAAATCATCATTCCTCGTTTTATAGTGTGTTGGGTTTGGGATGAGCTGGACGTCTTGTCATGTTGCGTAGAATTATCTTTTAATAATAAAATATCTACTCTGCAAACCACCAATCAAATTACCTTCTGCCCTTCGTCACCTTTCACAATCACAAGTAAAATGGTCCTAATTACCGAAATAACAAAATAAAATTCATTTAAAGCTTGAAATCAAATTTATTGGGGGAAAAGAGGATGTTGTCCGGTTGAGGCAATGGAGACGATGGTTGTACTCACTTAATAAATCCTTCAAATAATTTGTTGCTATGCCTGTGACGAAGTCGTAATTGTCAAGCTCTAGTATTTTTCGTCAAATCTCATCATATTAATGTTGATGAAATAAATAATTAAAATTAAAAGAATGATTAAATTATAATATTTTTAATATATTCAAATTCAATGTAAAAAATCTCAGATGTATAAAGGAGAAATTCTTAAATCTTTTAGGTGGGTATAAAATGCAATTATTTGGGTGAAGAGTTAAAATAGGATGGAAATATGGATGGGAAGGAATATTTTGAATGGAAAAATGTTTTGGAGAGAATAGAGAAATTACAAAAGCTAAAAAAAAGTTGATTTTTTTGGTGGGCGGTGCATAAAGTTGGACTTTGTAGTCTGTAAAGACATCTAGTGAACTTATGGAGCCCGTTTGCTTGTTGTGTTAAAAATAAGTGGATTTGATAAAATAATTTAATTTAATATAATATAAATACACAAAAGACAAGATTAAATTAAGGTATTAGAATAATGTATAATTTTATCTAGTATTTGACAATACATAACATAAATATTAGATAATAATTATTTAATCCAATCAGTTGTTTTGTTAGATAATTATTTCATCATATTAATGTGGAATTAATAAAAATATCATCAATCAGTATTTGTTACATTGATGATAACTTGATTTTATTGGTTGAGAGGGTTATAATAATAATTGTGAAGAAATAAGACGTTTGAGTTGAATTCTAATAACACCTCTCTTAATAGTATTAAAATACCTCCATAATATAGGTCTATCATACAAAAAATATAAATAAGTATACGATTAGTATACGTTTTTGAAATTAATACGATATCAAATTTACTTATCAAACAAAATATTAGGCTGATTAAATAAAAAATAGTACAATCTAATATATCTATCAAACAAAGAAGTCCATGGGATATTAGGGATAATCTATAGTAAAAAGACATACAAGCCCTTCGTATAAACGGTTTTCACATAAAATAGAGGGGAGAAAAAAAGAATGAGATGAAAGAGATAGAGGAGAGAGAAAAAAAATGCACATTTTTAAATTCAAATAAAATTAATTTTCTTTTATTTTAGAATTTTATAATTAGAACTCAATACAATTCTACCTTCTAGTCTTGATGTAACTACTAATTTAAAGATTTCAATGATATCCGGTTCATGAAGATGACGTGGACATCCCATGGCAGGTCCCATATTTTCTTTGTTTAATGAAATGGCAGGATTTACGTGTCATTTGTTTAAGTAAAAATGGTAATATTTTATTTTGCATTCACATTGATTCTCTAATTTAAATTAATCATATCAATTTTTCATTGATTACGAGAATGTTCCCGTGTGAATCTGAATATTGGAGTCTGTGTGTTCTTTGCAAATCCTTTGCAAGCATCTAGGAATCACTGGGTAGTAAATGATTCCATCAACATGAGGAATGTCGGTTAGGAAATCTCCAGAATATTACATAACTACTTTGTGGTGAACATCTTCATGGTTAACAGCATCTACAACAAAATTTTTGTATTTTATTAATTTAAAAATATTTATTTTTTCTTTTAATTATTTAATTTTTTAATACACATTATAATATATTTTTTATGTTTTAACTACTTCTTTTAAATATTATTTCACATTTTATTAAGACTATTGGAGGGAGAGGGAGAGAGAGAGAGAGAATATTCAAGGAAAAACGGATTATGGACAAGAAAAGTGAAAAAGAACATGAGAAAAGAAAAAAAATATAAAGTATTTATATAAGTTGTTACAATGATACTTCATATTTAGAGGATCACTATAACAAAAAGTTATTTCAGAGCATCTGAACATAATCACTTACAACATGATTTTTATCTTTAGTTAACTAAATTTTAATTATTTTAGAGGTTTACGTATATTGTTGGAGACGTTCTAAGAAAATATTGGTTGATGTGGGTGGAAGGTTCTTGAAATACTTTTTATTTTAGAGAGTATCTATAATAAAAATTTAAAATAGTGAGTGAAATTTTTTTAACAACTACAATAAAACTTTGTTTTATTAGAAATAATCTTTATAGTGAATAATATTTAATGTAAAATATAAATATGTCATTTTTTTATTTACAAAATTATATAGTGGAGAGTGATGTTGACTCTTTAAATGTGGGGAGTTAAATTGAACTCTCTATTTTAACAAGTTTTAATAAAAAAATTATTAAAAATTGATCCTCTAAAATAAAAAATTAAGTGGGAATAGAAAATTTATTGAAGACGTTGTTCCTCTCGTAAAATTAGTGGACTTTGAAAGAGAAATCCGAATACAACACTTAAGTATTGCCTGATAATTGACAGCTCATCAGTCGCAGTTAGTGGACTTTGAAAGAAAAATCCGAACACAACACGGAAGTATTGCCTGATAAATGACAGCTCATCAGTGGAGGTTAGTGGGCTAAGAAAATTCGTGGAAGGTGGTGCATGAGGCGGCTAAAAAAAGTTCATAAATATGCTAAAATCTTAAATCATATAATGTAATGCGATAGTGAGAGACAACAAGGAGGGAGCATTTTTTTTAGGGTTAATTTCATTTTGCACTCTGAAAGATTGTTCGAATTTTAATTTATATCTCCAAAGATTAAAAATCTCAATTTGTACCCTCAAAGATAGAAATTTGTATCAATGTACGCCCCCAAAGATCAAAAATTTCAATTTGCACCCTCAAAGATAGAAATCTGCATTAATGTGCACCTAAAACTAAATTGATAAATTATACCTACATCCCCTCATGTTTATCACTTAATCATTTGAACCCCTTCACATTTAAAATATTACCCCTACATCTCATGACGTTTGTACATGTGTAAACATAACCACTTTTCGTTGATATCTATTAATATAATCGTTAAAAAATATGATTTTATCCTAATAAAAAATTATAATTTCATATTACCCTT